CCCGAGGGGTGGGTTTCATGTCTCCAGCAGAGGCTGCCTGGAGCAGAGACCCGAGGAGGCTGCGGGATCAGGGCCGAGAGGCTGAAATGAACGGAGACCCGCTCCCCCTTTGCAGCAGCTTGGGGTGCAAGCGCGGCTTGTTCCAGGGCCAGCAGCACTCGCCCGGCCAGTAAGCGCAGCCACGCCTCAAGTGCCCCGCCACGTGGGGGCCACGCAGGCGCCTCCCAAGGGGGGAGCGGGGTGTTGTCCGCAAGGGTCGGTTAGCTGTGTGGGATAAAGGAAGGTCTCTCCATCCACTGCCGTGCTGCTTACTAGGGCGGGCTCCCTGCTGTGCCACACAGGGGCATCCATGACACATACACACCGTATCTCCCCCACGCACAATCAGCTACACAGCGACACATCCTTGCACAGCCCTCACCACGCACCCCCCTGTCCACACACGCCCAGCGTGCACTGGTTAGCTGTGTGGGATAAAGGAAGGTCTCTCCATCCACTGCCGTGCTGCTTACTAGGGCGGGCTCCCTGCTGTGCCACACAGGGGCATCCATGACACATACACACCGTATCTCCCCCACGCACAATCAGCTACACAGCGACACATCCTTGCACAGCCCTCACCACGCACCCCCCTGTCCACACACGCCCAGCGTGCACTGGGCGCTTGGGCGGTCACCCAGGAGAGCTTCAAATACCACCCAGCGTGCCTCCAGCCTGTGTTTCTCCGGGTGGTGCACATCCACCCAGGCCTCGGTGCACTGAATAAAATGTATTCTGCGCATGGATGGGAAAAACTGAGAGGGCGCATCCACACCCACGCCCACCCATGATGCCCTCCACACAGCCCGTGTTGTCACCCTCCCCCAAGCCATGCCACTTCCCGTACGCACCCACCCGGCCCAGCACACACACAGAAACACACCTGCCCACAAACAGCCGTTCTCCCACCGATCTGGCCGAGCGACTTAGCTCCCTGCAGCACAAAGCTGCCGCCCCCACAAGTCCTGCCAAGCCCTGGGGCGCACAAGGGAGGCCATGGTCACCCAGCTGGGCTTGGCCACGGGGCTGCGTGCCCCCGGGGGAGGGTAACTCGGCGCGGGAGAACTCCACACGCTTCCCCCAATGAGCCCAGGGCGAGGGGAGCCGCCGGAGAGGCCCCCAGCCCTGGCAGCTTCGGATCAGGTTGCGAATGGTTAAGAAGCGACATTTCCTCGGGCTCTGTAGTATTTCCACTCGCTTGGAAAGCAGCGAGGGAAAGGAACCAGCTCCGAGGGAAGCCAGAGCTGGGTGTGGCCGAAAGGCGAGGGCAGCTGGGCCGAGCTCACATAGCAAGCCAGGAACCGGGAGCCAGAACTCCTGGGCTCTGCTTCTTACTTTCTGTCCGCTCGGCACACGGGCTTGGTCAGGTGGCTTCTCCTCCAGCTTGCCCC